CGTCTTCCCTCCTCCCTCGTCGTTGTCGTCGTCGGCGTCGCCATCCTTCCTCCTTCGTCGTCGTTCGCGTCGTCGCCGTCCTCCCTCCTCCCTCGTCGTTGTCGTCGTTGTCGCCGTCGTCGTCCTTCCTCCTCCATCGTCGTCGCGTTCGTTGGCGTCGTCGTCGTCGTCTTCGTCGTCGTCGGCGTCGGCGTCGTTGTCGTCGTCGAAGTCGTCGGAGACGTCGTCGGCGTCGTCCTAGTCGTTGTCGTCGGTGTCGTCGTAGTCGGTCTGAACAGGTTTTGCAAACCAAGTTGCGGGTGGGTGGGTGGGATGTTGGCGCGAGCAGTGGAGATGACGACTTCAAGTTCAGCAGAGTGGGTTTCCAACATAGAACCTTGTATTCCACTGCTTCTGTGCCTAACACCACACACAGTATTCAATCGGTTCCCTCCCCAGGAGTTGGTCTTGGTCACCGTTCTGGTTCGGGTCGGCTGGCATTGATGGTGTTAATACTAAGAAGGCAGCCCGAAACACAACTGTGACCAGGACTGGTCTTGGTCACGGTTGTGGTTCGGGTCGATTGGTTTCACTAGTACTATAAGAATGTTAGTTCAACCCGAACCACAACTGTTCCCCAAACTGGTCCTGGTCACGGTTCTGGTTCGGGTCGATTGGCATTACTGATATTGTAAACATAATAATTCAAACCGAACCACAACTGTGCCAAAGAGTGGTCCTGGTCACGGCTCTGGTTCGGGTCGACCGGCATCAATAATATCCTTACAATATTAGTGCAACCCGAAACACAACTGTGACCAAGACTGGTCCGGGTCACGGTTCTGGTTAGGGTCGTATGGCACTAACAATATTCTAAGAATATTAATGCAACCCGAACCAGAACTGTGACCAGGACTGGTTCTGGTCAAGGTTCTGGTTCGGGCTGCTTGGCATTAATCATATTCTAACAATATAGATGCAACCCGAACCACAATTGTGACCAGCACTGGTCCTGGTCACGGTTATGGTTCGGGTCGATTGGCCTTGCTAACATCTTCATAATATCCATGCAACCCGAACCGCAATTGTGACCAAGACTGGTCCTGGTCACGGTTCTGGTTCGGGTCGATTGGCCCCCGTAATATTCTTACAATAATAATGCAGCCCTGACCACAATTGTGACCAAAACTGGTCCGGGTAACCGTTCTGGTTCGGGACGATTGGCATTGATACTTGTCTAACATTATTAACGCATTCCGAACCAGAACTGTGACCAGGACTTGTCCAGGTTGCGGTTCTGGTTCGGGTCGATTGGCATTACCATTCTAACAATATTAATGCAACCCGAACCAGAACTGTGACCAGGACTGGTTCTGGTCACGGTTATGGTCCGGGTCGATTGGCACTAGTTATATTATAACTAGAACCACGCGCGCGCTTCGCGCGCGCTTAGGTTCTAGCTAGGAGGCGAGCTTGAGTCAACGAAAGTCGCAGGGAAGGGGGCAGGGGGAAGAAGGCCAGAGAGCGCTGAAGGATACAAATACTGGAACCCTCGTGTGATTTTGTGGGGGTCCTCGTCCGGCCGCTCGCTGGGAGTTTGACGTAGCTTCTCGGGAGCCTCTGAACCTGTCGGGGGCCTCCTGGGGGCCTCCTTTGGGCCTCCTTTGGGCCTCTTGGGGGCTTCTGGGGCCTCTTGAGGGGCCTCCTTGGGGCCTCCTGGCGGCCTCCTTTGGGCCTTTGGGCCTCCTTTGGGCCTTTGGGCCTTTGGGGGCCGATTTGGTGCTTCTCGGGGCCTCCTTTGGGCCTCCTTTGGGCCTCTTGGGGGGTCTCCTGGGGCCTCTTGAGGGGACTCCTTGGGGCCTCCTGGCGGCCTCTTGGGGCGGAAGGCTCGAGCTTGCGGTTCGTGGTCCCCCTCTGGGCCCCCTCTTGGGCCCGTCTTGGGGCCCTCTTGGGCCATCTTGGGCGCCTCTTGGGCCGTCTTGGGGCCCTCTTGGGCTGTCCTGGGGCCCTCTTGGAAGCTTCTTGGGCCGTCTTGGGGCGGTCTTGGAGGCCTCTTGGGCCGTCTTGGACGCGGTGAAAGCCCAAGATGCGAACATGCGAAAAATATACGTTTTCCCATAGGAATGGCACGATTTTTGTTTCTTGGACCTCTCTTGGGGTGCCTCTCGGAACGTCTTGGGTGATTTTGGAAGCCTTTTGGCGCCTCTGGGCGGCGTTTTGGCGCCTCCTGGGATATGTTGGGCCGGAAGCTCGGAATTCGAGAGTGGCTTTCTCCTTCTGGGACCCCTCTCGAAGTCGTCTTGGGGTTCTCTTGGGCCGTCTTGGGGCCGTCCTGAGCCACTCGTGCGCAGCCTTGGAGCGCTCCCGGAGGCCTCCTAGGCCGTCTTGGAGGCCTCTTGGGCCGTCTTGGACGCGGTGAAAGCCCAAGATGCGAACATGCGAAAAATATCCGTTTTCCCATAGGAATGGCACGATTTTTGTTTCTTGGACCTCTCCTGGGGTGCCTCTCGGAACGTCTTGGGGTGCTTTGGGGAGCCTTTTGGCGCCTCGTGGCGGCATTTTGGCGCCTCCTGGAGCCTCTTGGGCCGGAAGCTCGGAATTCGAGGTTGGCTTTCTCCGTCTGGGACCCCTCTCGAACTCGTCTTGGGGCTCTCTTCGGCCGTCTTGGGGCCGTCCTGGGCCACTCGTGCGCAGCCTTGGAGCGCTCCCGGAGGCCTCGTAGACCGTCTTGGGCGCCTCTTGGGCCGTCTTGGACGCGGTGAAAGCCCAAGAGGCGAACATGCGAAAAATAGACGTTTTCCCATAGGAATGGCACGATTTTTGCTTCTTGGGCCTCTCTTGGGCTGCCTCTCGGAGCGTCTTGGAGGCTTCTGGGACCTTCTTGGTGTCATGACAGGCGTCTTGGAAGGCATCTGGAGCCATCGGAGCGCGTTCCGAAGCCGCCTGCGAACGATCTTGGACGGCGTCCGGCGGTCCGACGAGCCTCCGGGCCCCCCGGGGCCCACATTTGTGGTCGGGGTCCCGGCCCAGGGCCCCTGGACCCGGTGCGCCGTCATATGTATATAGTGTTAAGGCAACCCAAACCACAATTGTGACCAGGACTGGTCCTGGTCACGGTTCTGGTTCGGGTCGGTTGGCATTACTGATTTTCTAACAGTACGAATGCAACCTGGACCACAACTGTGACCATGACTGGTCCTGGTCACGGTTCTGGTTTGGGTCGATGCGCATTAGTAATCGTATTATACTATCACTACAACCCGCATCATAATTGTGACTATGACTGGTCCTGGTCATTCTTAATATTCTTACAGCATTAATGCAACCCGAAACACAACTGTGACCAGAACTGGTTCTGGTCATGGTTTTCGTTTGGTCGCATTATTCTGAATGTATTTGAATAGTGTGACTCCACCTTGACCAGAACCATGACTGGTCACAGTCATAGTCAGAGTCGCAAATTAATAGTATTCCAACCTCACCCGAAACAAGACTATAGTCATAGCCGCAGCCCGACATTGATAATATTATTCGGATGCCACCGATTCCTAGGTACGTCAAGACCAGTTCTAGTCACAGTCATTGTTCGGTAATACAAACGTATTTCGAATAATGTCCACCACAACCAAAACCTGAACCACACTCAGGAGGAGAATGAAGAGGAGGAGGAGGAGGAGGAGGAGGAAAAGGGAGGAGGAATAGTGGAGAGGAGAGGAGAGAGTAGAAGTAGAGAAGAGAGAGGCGAGAGGAGGAGGAGGAGGAGATGAAGGAGGAGGAGGAGGAGGAAAGAGGCGAGGAGGAGGAGGAGGAGGGAAGGGAGGAGGAGGAGGAACGAGGAGAGAGGAGAAAGGAGGAGGAGGAGAAGGGAGGAAGGAGGAGGAGGAGGAGGAGGAGGAGGAAGGAGGAGGAGGAAGGAGGAGGAGGAGGGAGAAGGAGGACGAGAGAGGAGGAGGACGAGAGAGGAGGAGGAGGAGC